TTTTCTTAATTATATCGACTGACCAATCTAGATTACGGTATTAAAAATATCATAATTGTTTTTACGGTACAACGACTACTGTAAATGGCATTTTTGTCCGAAATTTAGCAAAAATGGGCAAAAGGGTGTCGGTGAGGTTTTGGGAAGTTGGAGGTTTTTTTCCAATTTCTTGACAATATGGGTATATTAGCGATAATTTTCCTAGTTAAAATTAATAAAAAGATTTTAGAATATTATTTGAATATTTAAACCACTGTAAAATCAATATCTTTAATTGTATAAATCTAAAAATTATAAATAAAATATCCAGAAGTTCATAAAAATTCAAATAATAATCTTAAACTAATTTTCATCATAAAACGAACACAATTAAATTAATTTGATGGGAAAATGATCCATATGGTTTAGAAATCAACAATCATGGGGCACTCCACCTTCAACTGTGGACTACAAACCACACTTACTTTATCAGACCAACCTAGTGTTTCTCGTGACCCACAGTCCAAGCAGCGGCTCATTAACGGGTCACCAAAGTCCGGCCGATGAGCCAAGGGGTCGCAATCCCACTCTATAGATTTTAGGTCCTCCTCTAGAGACGAGTTAAGATCACCTAGACCTAATGCGACCGCAGCTCCTATGGTGCATAAGAGAATCTCTCGCAAATGCATATGCTTCATCCGAAAGGTAGATTTCTGGCTTTTTCGAACGATCTATCGATATGCATGCCGTATAATGGCACACAAATGAAACTTTGGCTCCCGTCTCCATAGGCCACCATCACACACAATAGTCACACAGTTTATCGACTCACTTATCCAAGCATATTCTCCGACCTCATTAAGGGCTAACCCATTAAAACCTTTTTCGGTTTGTTCTTTATGCTCAGATAACATAGGTTTTTCTCAACCAACTGGTCTAGATCGTTAATCACAGTCTGATATCAGCAAACATCGTTTATTTAAATACGGTCCACAAGGAACCACACTTCTACTGAGTTCAAGTTCCATTATATCATTTCATATTTACAAGCACTCATACGGCCTTTAAAAACAACATAAACCCAACAACCACTAACTCCATCAGTATTCATTTTTGCATCTCCCCCTCCCCCCAAATTGAAAAAGTAGTTCTTTTCGAATGAAAATATCCCCATATTTTTTATCTCTAAAAAGTTGAAAATTGAAATTAAAAAAGAGGACAACTACAAAAAATTTAGACAAAAACTATCTCAAATTTCAAATTTTAGTGAGATAAACTATCTCAAAATTTTTAGAAATAGAACCAATCTTTTTTAGATTGAAATTAAAACGTGAAGGTATAAGAATGAATGTGGGGTTAAACATTTGAGGTATTTTTATCCTAAACAAACTAATTTTTTGCTCGGCGGGCTAGATGCAAGAATAAAGAGGTTAATGATTAAAGCTGCTAGCTGGACCCGGTCCAAGGCCCGGAACGCCCAAAATATTTCGGGCCGGACCACATAGGCCCAACCCATAAATAAGAGATGAAAAGGCCCGACCTGGAAGACCCAAAAATTGCACCAAAGCCCGCCGGCCCCGGTTAGGCCCGGTAGTCCCCTACTGAAAAAAAAAAACCTTGATCTACTTGTGCTACTCCCGGCCATTGGGGTTGTCTCTCTCTAAATATAATTGATCATCCTCTCTCTAAATCTCTCAAAATATTATAGTTGTAGTATGTCTCCCTCTCTATCTCTTGTCTTTTTCTCTCAAAATAAAAAAAATGGATGCCTGTGTTCAGGCACAATGGTTGTTCCTTTCGGTGGGAAGAATGAAAAGCCTTGATCTTCATGGATAGATCAGTGAGAAACTAAACAAACCCTGGAAACATCGCATCACGAACCCAAAAATAAATCTAGAGAGAGATAAACCCTAAAATTCAAATTCAAGCCATACACTCTGGAGCTGGTGAACTTGGTGACAGCCTTGGTGCCCTCTGAAAATGTATGCTTGACAAGCTCACCGGGAAGAACCAAATGAGCAAAGGTCTGGATCTCCCTCGAAGTTATGGTGGGCTTCTTGTTGTAGCGAGCATGTTTCAAGGCCTCTTGAGCAAGCTTCTCGATAATGTCATTGATGAAGCCTTGAACATGTAGACCTTGTAAGAGCAGAAACGCCAGAGAGCACAGTGGCGAGAGAGTTAGGTTTAAGAAGAGAGAAGGTTTAGAGAGAGAAATTACTTTATTTTGATAAAAGAAAAGCTAGAGAGAGAGCGAGAACGCTTTTTTTTTATTTGGGTGGTAAATGAGAGAGACACGCTTGGAATTAATCGGGTATTTTTGGGTTAAAATATTCTTTAGAGAGAGTTTGGGAGTTTTTTGAGAGAGTTTGATTGAGAATGGGTTTTTTTGGGAGAGAGATTAAATTTTTAAACAGATAATCGATTCTTATTAGAGAGAAAAAATATAATGGGTTTTTAGAGAGAGAGATTGGATTTTTTAAAGAGTGAAGTTGGGATGCATAGGTAGCTGTAGAGGTAAGGTGCACCTTCAAATTTTATCATATTATATAATTTTGAGGTGAAATATTCTTAGGATTATCTCAAAATCTATTTTTATATCTAATTATAAAATTTTAAATTTAAAAAATGATTAAAATCAAGTAGATCTATAAACATATAAAAATCCTGAAAATGGACTGTGTAAATTATATGTTGTAAAATGCACTATTTATGAGACTTAAAATCTTTTTATTTTTCATGGTCATGCATCTTGATGTCGAGATGATCAAAAGGTTTTTCAACATTAAAACTATATTTTTCAATTGATTTTTTAGGTGTAACCGTGGTTCTACATTATAAGATTGCATCCTTATATAAACTTCTTCCTTTCTTAGAAGAGCGGAAATGCATTTTTATAGAGAGATTGAGTTTCTAGAAAGAGAATATAAAAACAGAGATTGAGTTTTTAGAGAGATAAATAAATTGGTTTTTAGAGAGAGAAATAGATATTTGTTTTTAGGGAAATAGAATGACTAGAAAGAGATTAGATTTTTAAAGACAAAAGGTTTTAAATTTTCTAAAAATTATTTTAGCATATATTGTTATTAGAGAAAAATTTATATAGAGCAGAGGATTGAAACAATCAAATTGTAGCCTACATCAAAAATTTCACTAGTTATGGTTATTTTGATGCTCAAATTTCCTCAAAATGATCATCTCAACATCAAGATACATGGATAAGAGAAAAAAATGGATTTCAGATTTTTGGATATAATGTATTTTGTAACGCATTTTTAGAACTACGGATGGACCTCAAAAATCCAGCCGAAAAGGTAGTTTTAATGTTGAAAAGCCCTTTGATTGATCATCTCGACATCAAGATGTATGACTAAGAAAAATAAAAAGACTTTAAGTCTCAAAAATAGTGCATTT